ATTATCAGCGAGTAATATAGGATATAGGCTAACTGCGGTTGCCAATACGTTTGTCAAAGATGGCAACCATTGGCAAAACCCTTCAGTAGCGGAAAGGTCTATATATTCTTTATTGCACTAAAACATATAGGAATAAAAACAAATTAGTAACAAAGTGAGCAAAGGCGAATTTTTCTCTAAAAGAGATCTCTTTTTTTTATGCAACATAGAATGGCAAACAAGTTGACGGCCCACCTGATAGAAAGTGGTAACCGTCGCTTATAGACATGAGCAGTACCATGGACATAACAGAGTATACTGTTTCGCCCATGATACCCCCCATGCGTTGCCATTCCTGGGGACTCGGGTGTTATTCCACTGTACTCTCTTTATTCACTGCCATATCCCACCCTTCAAACAGAAACACAGCCATGCAAACACAACTGCTTCACGGTTGAAATACGAATGGGACAGAGGTGCCCAAGCAAACGTCCTTTGTACAAAGTCTTCCTCTGGTAAATCTCTTATGAGTGAGACCTATATTCAGCTGGGAACTGGTTACGGCTGATATAGCGGTGATGAAAATCTACTAATAAATTTGGAAGAGTCTGTTTGTTTGAACGTGCTTATCTCTGTAACTATCAGTTGGATTTAAAAAAAACTATTTGCATTTAATATATTTTTTGAATTTTATTAATATATATACTTAGACGACCACGGCCGTAGCAGCGGGATATAGTAAAAGATATGGGGCCCCTAGTCCCCATTACTAACAATCCATTCCGCTTCCACAATAGATAGTTTACACTTGACAAACTTCCGAATTAATATTTAAACAATAACCTGCCATTAAATGGGATAATATCCATTAGGGAGTCAACAGGGGAACGGTGGGTGGCGACGTTGTCGACTTAATTTACGTCTTATTGTCATAGCAGTAGGGGTTATAATGTGTATAGCTAATTTTATAGTTGATAGTGGCACCAAATTGTAGGGGAAGTGAATGTAGCCACCTGTGTGGAGACCGTAGGGTTGTCAATCCTCTTATCTAATATAATAAATGCGAAAGTTTAACGATGGATGTATGTTTGTTACTCTTTTAAGCAAAAACTACTGAACGGATTTGAATGAATTTTGCTACAATTGTAGGTTATATTCTAACGAAGTAAGTACACTCTGTTATGTCCACGGTACTGCTCATGTCTATAGGCGACGGTTACCACTTTCCATCAGGTGGGCCGTCAGCTTATTTGCCATTCTAATTTGCATATTTTTTTGTTTAATGGGTAATAATGGTATGGTAACCCCGTCTGCGCTATCGGTATACAATGGCGGGACACCAGTGATACTCGTAGATGACTGATGAAAGCAGGTCAGTTAGCCCATCCTGATGAATTCAACTAGAATTAGCCATGATATTTTCCAGGGGGAACCACATGGAGGTCACCCTGACAGGGTATATTGCTATTAATGGGGCTATTTGACCCCAGTACTAATAATCCCTTTCCTTCCAAGCTTGGAGAGTTTTATTTTTTAATGGGTGATAATGGACTGGTAATCCCACCCAGCTATCGGTATACACTGGCGGGGCACCAGTGAAGGATGATAGGTGAAGATGAAGCAGGTCAGTTAGCCCATCGTGACGAATTCAACAAGAATTGTTCACGATGGTTTCCAGGGGGAACCACGTGGAGATCGACCTGATAGGGCATTAGATTACATAGATTACTAGCAATGGGGCTGTCAAACTCCATTGCTAACAATCCCTTTCCGTCCAGGCTTGGAGGGTTTGTCGGTAGTTGTTGCGCTAGGAAGGCGGGTTGGCAACAGCAGTTAGGCTTTGGTGACGTTTTAACAGTAACGCCTTTGCCCATCAATTGATCATTAAATTCCCTTAGTCGCCTCTTACGACACCCAAAGGACAGGAAGGGGTGAATGAACGAACGAATGATATCTCTTTATCGTTCCCTTCAAAGAATGACACAGATTAACAATATGTACACAATCAAAATCAATAATTAATTAAATAAAATTAAAATAAAAAAGCATTAATTGGCAGCCTTATTGCTAAATAGCGATCTCTTCCAGGCACCTTCAGGGATAGTTCGTTCAATACCAGGACCATAAGGTTAGAAATATTTCATGTTTAGTAAAAAAAAACAAAAAACAAAACTCGTATTGAAATTTCTTGGAGGTGCCAACCCTAGCTGAGACTAATATTATTACAGCAAAACAGATTTTCTCTATTGTGCAGTTACGCTCCACTTCGAATAATGTTCGAGGACAAGCGGTTTTGGAAAATTTATTAGTTTAAATCAAATTCTTATGAAGGGGAAATATTATATATTTTATGTTAATCAATATTTTTTTAAAACATACCTTATTTGCCTAGTGTTCAGTGTTCGAGTGTCTAATTTCAAATAATCTTTAATCAAATAAGACTTGTTTACAAGCACTTTTAATTGGTAATTTTTTTTTAATCTACTGCAGAGTTCGGAATGTTGTTATCTGTTCCGTAGAGCCCGCAAGAACCTCGATAGTTACTCTTTTAAATCAACTAACATGTGTATTTTTTTTTTTTTTTATTGGATGAAAATGGAGTGGTCACCCCGCCTGCGCTAATGGGATACGCTGATGGGGCACCAATGAAAGGTGATCGATGAGGATGAAAACAGGCCAGTTAGCCCATCATTATTAATTCATCAGGAATTAATCATGATAGTTTCCAGGGGAACCGCGAGGAGGTCGACCTGGTCAGAGTCCCATTTCTAGCAATATACTCAATATTGCTAGAAATGGGACTCTCAGTCTCCATTACTAACAATCCCTTTTCCCCCCAATAACATGTGTATTTATTTATGTCTAAAATAACATTTTTGTCTAAAATAACCATGCACGCTTGTCATTCAAGCAATCGTTATGTGTGTAATAGGTTTAGTTCAATAAGTGCTTTTTAATACAAGTTTTAAACTTATTAAAAGGTAGATCCAAAATATCCTTCGGTATTTTGTTATAACCTGTAATTCCCATTACCATAAAAAACGAGAAAGACTACAACATGGGGTTCTTCGAAAAGAGCGTATTAAAGTTTCTTGCGAAACAAACCTAGTGTTGTGGGCATCAATAAGTTATGGTAACCCCGTTTAACATTAGGCGGGCCGTATGCTAGTTTATTACAATAGTAGTTTAAAAAAATTGCATCTGGCAGCTCTGTAAATATCTAGATTTCATTTTGATTACAAGTTTTTTTTTCTTCAAGTTTAACGCTATTAAAAAAATATATTTATTATTGCGTGGGTCATTGTTCCCCAAAGTAGACTCCACACCAGCGTTTGATATCAAACAAATGCGAGTAAGCTTTTAATTTATCACATAGTTACTGTGTTGTTCACATCAAACAGTCGAGAATCGCTTTGATCTTGTTATTAATATTAAAAATATTCGATAACTCCGGTGGCAAAGCATACCGCGGGCGGCCGGGGTTGCCAGTGCGGGAAACAATCATTCCAAATAAGTAGGCAACGAAATGTTCTGGATAGAATAGATTAAAAAAAAGAGGAGTATGTGTTTTTTATTGTCTGTACGACTATATTGTAAGTCTGAGCATTATCTGTTGACAATGTTGCTGTTATTTTCAATAGTATTGTTTAATTTGTTTGTTTAATTTAATTATTTATTTTATTTATTTTTTTTTTTTTTCAATATTTTAAGGGCTTTTACCTTCTTCAGGTATATCAGTCCTATTGTACCCTGAACTGATTTCTCCAACAAAACTTTATCTAACTTCCCTAGACGCGGAAAGAGAAGAATTAATGGGCTTCAATAATTTACACAGATGTTCAAAAATTTCTGGTTTAAGTTCAGCTAACATAGTTTGAATAAGACCAACATTCAATTTATTTAAGTTAAAGTGGCGCATGAATTCTTCTCTTTCCTTCGTGTTAATACGACACTCTAATAGAATATGATGCACATCATCGATGGTATTACAAGTTTGACAATGGGGTGACAAGGACTTCCCCATCATAAGTGCAAATTTTTTTGATGGATAATGACCAGAACGTAGACGAACAGCTAATTTAATACTGTACCTATTGATTTTAATTCCACAAAACCAAGGAATATGTGGTGGTTCAGCCTGAATAGTTTTGTACCAAATGCCTTTTTCTTTTGAAATTTCGTTAAAATATTCTTTCAAATCTTTTTGACATTGATTTTTGAATTTAGATATATAATCAGTAAAATGTGGTAATGACTGATGTTCCCTACCTTTCTCTATTTATTCTTTATTGTACACAGAAAAAAATACAACATATAATATATATATAAAATAATGATGTACAACAGGCGAGCTTAACTCTGTAAGTGTTCTCTTCCAGCAAACCCTGAGTGGAGAGGAGCATTAATTATTACCGGGCAGTGTGCGTACAATAATAGAAGGAAACATTATAGATGTTTCTATTAAAAAATAATAAATATGTTGACATACATATATAAGTAACTCATACAATTAAAATCAAAATAAACACATATCTGTATACAATAATACATATACATACATACATAGACATAATAAGTTATTTATTTTATTTGTTTAATTTTGTGTTTCCTTTACTTGTATCACATTTGTGCTAACTTTAGCGGCTGTCAAACTACTATTTAAGTGTGTAATTATGTATTATTCTAGCTGTCTGATTTTTTTTATATACCACTGAGGTGGCAAACAAGCATACGGCCCACCTGATGGTAAGCGGTTACTGTAGCCTATGAACGCTTGCAATACCAGACGTGCGCGTTGCCGACCCTGAAGAAACCCCTTTACCCCCCTTTTGAAGAACCCCATGCTGTAGTCTCTTGGGAAAACCTCGGCAGGGAGCTCATTTCATAACCTGATGTGTTCGTGGGATAAAACATCTCTGAAACCGCGCAGTACGCGAGCATTGAGGCTGCAGGATACGTAGGTCACGCTATAAGTTCTGCGTATCTTAAAAAAACAACATGTTATAACCAAAATATTATGTTTATTGCTTTCCAAAATACTCTTCTTTACATTTTAAACATTTTTTCATGCGATCGAACCATTTTTTAAAACAGGAGGACCACAGATCTGAAGGCATGTTTTCTACGTGCTGATTGAACACTATCACTGCTTCTTCGGAGTTGGTAAAAGTGAAACCTCTCATCAAATCTTTAATTTTGGGGAAAAAACAGAAATCACAGGATACTAGGTTTGGGCTATATGCAGGATGGGTGACGAGTTGTACTTTTTCGGAAGCTAAAAATGACTTTGTTTTGTTGGCCGTGTGTGAAGAAGCATTGTCATGATGTAGGAGAATGCGGCTTTTTGGTCGTCTTTCGCGAACCTTTTCTAATACCCTGGGTAAACAAATGGTAAAATACCACTCGGCATTAATACTCTTTTGATCTTCAAGTGGAATTGTACAGATGGGATCTGTAGCTGAGAAAAAAAACGTGATCATTTTTTTACCAACGTTTCTCGCCTGCTTCACTTTTGTTGGCCTGTTCTCATTTTCAAACACCCATACACAAGACTGCTGTTTTTCTTCGGGTTCAAAATAGTAAATCCACGTTTCGTCTCCTGTGACAATATCATAAACAGCATTATAATGTCCGTGGTCGTACTGCAGTAGCATCTGTAAGCACCATTCCACGCGAGCCCGCTTCTGCTCCGCTGTCAGTTCATGAGGGATCCAACGACAACAAAGTTTCCGAACTCTCAATTCTTCGTGTAAAATTTTCTGAATTTGGCTCATACTAATCCTTAATAGTTCTCGAATTGCCTCATAGATAATCTGCGGGTTTTCTTCAATTAGCCGCTTAACAGTAGCCACATTATTTTCGTTGACGGCAGTTGGAGGCCGCCCTTCACGAAATTCGCCATGTAAAGAAACTCGACTTCTCTCAAATTCAGCGTACCATCTCCTCACGGTGCTCAAACAAGGTGCTTCTCTCCCAAAAGCATTTTGAAGACGAGCAGCACAGTCTTGCGGAGAGAGAGAACTTTTAAAATCATAAAAAATCATCGCTCTAAAATCTTTTCGACTTAATTCCATTTTCGTTGCGTACGTAGAACTTTGATGTGTGATAAAAAACAATTGACAAATGATTTCCCGCCAATTATTGTTTTTTATTACTAATAAGGTTGCAACGTTTCAAAAAATATAACATTCAAAATTCAAATAGTTCCGATTAGCTAGAAGTGCAAAACTTTTAGTGTGCCCCATGTATGAGGGTGAACTCCCTGTCTATGGCGAGCCGTACGATGGTAGAATCTGGCCGTGAACGTCATATTGAACAATTCCTCTGAGCACAATCCGTTGTACAAGCGGTAGAACACGCAGAGTGAGGCAAAATCTCTCCTAAGACTTAAGGGTCCGATACCGCTTGCAAGCCTGGGATCATCGACAATTCTCATAGCTCGTCGTTGCACTGAGTCGAAGGGTTCAAGCTGGTATCTAGGTGCTCCCGTCCATAAGTGACAGTGTTTGCCTTAAATAAATAAATAAATATACCCCGTCTGCGCGGGGGAAAAGATTGTTAGTAATTCGGGCTGCCGGTCCCATTGCTAGTAATATACTCTGTCAGGTCGACCTCCACGCGTTTCCGCCTGGAAACCATCGTGCTGAATTCCAGATGTATGGCACACGATGGGCCAACTGACCTGCTTTTTCATTCTCACCTATCATTCCTCACTGGTGTTCTACAAGCGTACACCGTTAGCGTAGGCGGGGTCACATATATATGTTACTTTTTTTTATTTATTTTTTGATAGTTTTTATTCCGATAAAAAAATAAATGGACCCGATAGGTGGCGGCAGGGAGCAAAAGTCGTCACGAAGGGCTTTTTTAATGGATGATAATAGAATAGTAACCTCGCCCGCGTTATCAGTATTATAAATACCTACTGACAGCGCGGGCGGGGCACCAGCGAGGGATGATAGGCGAGAATGAAAACAACTCAATAGTCCATAATAATAACTATATCAAAATAAATCATGGGAGTTTTATGGGAGAAGAGTTATATGGCCAGCAGTATGTCCACTTTACTAACAATCCCCTCTCCCCACCGTCACAATCACCGTCACGCCTATGGGTCAACTAACCTGACTTTATTCTCACCCCTCATTCCTCACTGGTACCCCGCTAGCGTATATCAATAGCGCAGGCGGGGTTACCATTCCATTATCATCCATTAAAAAAGAAGCTCTCACAGATAAGCGTCAATGTATACTAAGGAACAATTATACAATTAGAGAAGACCTAACTACCAATATACCTTTAAAATCCTGTCCCATATATTCCAAGTGACTTGAAGATAATCATTATCAAATTTATCGACAAAACAATTATAACTGTTCACTGGTGAAAATAGGCTTCCTCCATAAGGGGAGTTTCGCCAGTTTCTGCTACGCTCGTCAGGCGGGTTGGCAAACGCAGTTAGGCTTTGGTGATGTTTTAAGAGGGACGCTGCTGCCCATCCCTCGACCCTTAATTTTACAATATCATTATGGTCCGGCCTTTGCTTTACAAAGACTTGTATTGGTAAATGGCTCAATAAGTTTATATAAAAATAAAGAGATAACTTGCCTCCTGCCATCTATCTTTCAAAATATGGATACATATTCAATTATCTATTAATTTATCCTTTAAAGGGAGACTTTGTACAAAAGTCGATTGCTTGGGTACCTCTGTCCCATTCGTGTTTCTATCGTGAAGTAGTTGTGTTTGCATGGCTGTGTTTTGGTTTGAAGGGTGGGATATGGCGTGAATTGACAGGGTATTATATATTAGTTCGTTATAGAAACAAAAACTACTCGACGGATTTTAACGAAACTTGGTACAATTATTCTTCATACTCCTGGGCAGATTATAGTATACTTTTCATCACGCTACGATCAATAGGAGCAGAGCAGTGAAGGGAAATGTTGGGGAAACGGGAGAAGGTACTCCATTTTTAAAATTCCGTCGCGGGTGCAGCCTTAATGGCCACTTTTTAATGTTATGTTTTTTTTAATATATATATATATATATATATATATATATATATATATATATATATATATATATATATATATATATATATAATAGAATTTCATCGTGCCTCCGATCAAACTATTTATAATTATTCCTCTCCATCCAAAGGTTGCCTGCAAGAGATCGCTCTTAGCGATAAGGCCGCCCATTGTTTTCTCATTGTGATTATTTCTTATAATTGTTTATATTTATAGTAAGTTTACTATTGTAATCTTTTAGAGGAAACAATAAAGAGTATCTATCTATTTATAATAAAAGAATATTACAAATCGGTTTATGAATGGCGGACTTCACACGAGTGGGTATATAGAAAGATAAATTATTTATTTATTTATACTTTATTGTATATAAAAATTACATTGTTTATTAAATTTTAAATAAAGATGTACAATAACCGAGTTTAACTTCGTAAAAGTAAGTTAGTAATATAAAAACTAATATAAAATATTATAGTTTTAGACGTAGACTTTGTACGAAAGTCGTTTGCTTGGTCTCATTCAGGCGGTGTTACCATACCATTTTCACCCATTAAAAAAAAAAAAACACTAAATTTGCAAAAGTACTAATAACCATTAATTTTCAGTCAAAACCAGTTTTGACTAACCTGTTCAGTTAAAAATAGGTACTTTGGAATGATTTTGCTAGTCAACAGTACTTTTGACTGGTTAAGAGTTTTAAATGCAACATACATATTAAATTCTATCTAATTAAGCGTAGCAACATGATTGCCAGTATGCAAAAGAATAATTCTACTTTATAAGCACATAAATAATATTTTGTTAATATGTATTTGAAAAGACGTTACCATAAATAATTAAAATTTTGCACGCCATTGTTTTGACAAAACACGCCTGTTCCTAACATATTATTGCTAACATCTGTATACCGTGTTTTTTAGGAAATAAATTATATTATTATTAAGCTTCGAGTTACTCAGCGAGATATGGAGAGGCCTATGATCGGGGTCTCTTTGCGTGATAGAATCCGAAACGAGGATATACGCAAAACAACCAAAATAACCGACATAGCACGAAGGATAAGCAAGTGGCGATGGGCTGGCCACATAGCTCGAAGAACCGACAACCGATGGGGAAGAAAGGTTCTTCGTACGGGTAAACGCAGTGTAAGACGACTCCCCCACTAGATGGAGTGACGACCTGAAATGCATTGTAGGGAGTTAGTGGATGCAGGTGGTTAAGGGCTGTTCTTTATGGTAGTCTACGGGGGAGGCTTATGTCCAGCAGTGGACGGATAATGGCTGAAATGAAAGCGTAGCAAGCGCGCGGGGAACGTAAATATTGTACGTAGCACATCCGTAGCTTATTGCTACGTAGCTGTCCTTACGAATTTTAAGCAACTCTAAACTTGGTAGAGATATCGTTTAGAAAAAGTTAATAGGTCTGTTATGGGAATGGGCATTAAATGTTATAATAAGATGCCGAACGACATTTTGGATCTTCCTTTTAATTAGTTTAAAACTGTTATTGAAAACACTTATTGAACAAAGCCTATTACGCACTAAACGATTACTTGAATGACAAACGTGCACACACACGCATACACACGCGCGCACACACATGCACACACACACACACACACACACACACGGACACGCACACAAATACGTACACACGTGCACACGCACACGTACACGCACATACACGGACTCGCACACACACGCACACGTGCACTCGTGCACACATGCACACGCACACACATGCACACGTGCACGTATACACAGCATACGCACACGCACAGGTTTTGTATACTGTTAGCAATGAGCACTAATCTCCCATTTCCATTCTATCTCCATCCATTTCCATCTCCTATCCACTATTTTCTCTCCCCTAGACGTTTTGTACTATATCGGGGTTTATAAATATTAGAATTTTGGATTAAATCGGAGTACCTAAATAAAAAAATCGTTAATATAGGTTCAGAAATGACTTATCTGCTGTTCTGGTATAGAATGGACCATTCCTTCCTTTCCCGTGAGTGTCGTAAGAGGCGACTAAGCAAGGTTAAGGTGGAGGGATGGGCAGCAGCGTCCCTCTTAAAACATCTCTAAAGCCTAACTGCGGTTGTCAATCCGCCTGCCCAAGCGTGGCAACTACTGGTAAAACTCCCCTTATGGGGAAGGCTCATGTTCGACAGTGGACAGTTAATGGCTGAAATAATAATAATAATAATTAAGCACGTATAGTTGCAAAAATAAATTAACACGAATCTGGAAACTTTCATCCGAATGTTTTTGACGAAATTTAAAAAAAGAATTAAATATTATAGTCTTCATTAGCAAAAAGATTATAATGGATTTGATTTGAAAAAGGAAAACAAGAAAAAGTTTTGATATCTTTTTAATTTATGAAAAAAGCAACAGAAGATAAGAGGCGACCATAAATCAGGATTTATTGAACGAATAGACGCTTTTCTAACGCGGCAACATTGACATGGCGGGCTAGGGCGGGGGCGAGGCAGCGGGAGGGGAGGGTAATTATTACATTCCATCGTACGACCGCCGAGCAGCGTTCACCAGTAAAAATATGATTTGCAATGAATCGTCCGCGCGGAGTTACTAAACAAAACATGTCTGCTTTTTTTTGGGTGATAATGGAATAGTAACCCCACCCGCGCTATCGGTATACACCGGCGGGGCACCAGTGAAGGATGATAGCTGAGGATGAAGCAGGTCGGTTAGTTCATCGTGACGAATTCAATAAGAAATGTTCACGATGGATTTCAGGGGGAACCACGTGGAGGTCGACCTAGTAAGATATATTGCTAGCAATGGGTGCTGTCAAGCTCCATTGCTCCGTGCTTTGTTTTTAATTAAAAAAATATGTCAAAAGCTAAGGTCAAAAGTTAGTATAAATGAGAGGAATAAAAGACTTTTATGGGAAAGGAGGGGGGGGGGGGGTCACTGCAGTTGCGGAAAAGGCTCGGCAGCGGCTCGCAAGGCCGGGTCGCATACCCGTGTGTCCTTATTCTAGAATCGGACAGATTTCTAGAGAAACTGGCT